AACCCCCCCAATTTTTGTGCAACCTGTCAAAGAAGCAGTATAATGATCAAATTGATTGTCTGCTCCATCTAGCTTGGAATTAGCCCATCCAAAAATCACAAACCAATGGACCACCTTCCTCCCCCACACAGTAAGATTGATATTAGGATTTGATTGTACATGTCCAAAGCAACCTTTATTAGGGTTAGGGTTAGGGGGAACAACAAGAACCTGAAAGATAAATTATTTTCTGAAAAAAATAGAAAACGTACTCACCTAGCGCAATAGGAGGAGGAAGCCTATTGAGCTAGAAGAGGGGGGAGAAGACAAGGGTTAAGTATTGGAGGCAAGATTGGATGATTATGTAATCATGAATGGATTTGTTAAAGCTGTTCAAATTGGTTTCACATTCTTAAGGCAGCTTGGTGTTGAAATTCTGACTGATTTCTTCCCTTTTTAGTCATTGACATGACTCTTTCATTATACCTCACAATATTTTTTGGTCATCTTGAATTCTTTAGATCATAGTCTGTTGTAGATTTGTTTTGTGTAATAAGAGCTCCCTTTGTATTTATCTTGTTTGAATATTCAATTACACAGCCACTTTTTGATCAGCTTGTACTACACCCCCGGTGCACTTTTTTCAAAGTTCGACGTCATCGAGCCGTGTGCAGCCATCGGACGTCCAACAGTCATGTTTGACAGCCAACAGCCGCCTCATCATAATATGACGATCACGAGCTAGGCTGTAGCCGCCCTGTGGGCCGGCCGGTTTGTTCAAGACAGCCGGGGACGGTCACTGCCCCGACCCGTCTAGTTGCCGGCGTTGGGATAGCCATGAGACAGGGGCAACAGGCTCCGGTCAACTCGGCATTGCTGCCCACCTGACACCTCAGAAGTGACCACAACACGGCGCCTCCCCCACCTAAATATCACAACACACTCACCCATCATCCACTCTCCTCACCATGCACTGTGCCCAAGGTTATAAAATAAATGAAACACATGTAAACCATATTACTTAGATTGAGAGGAATATTGAGGGAATTGTACACATTCCTGCATACTCAAGTCGGCGGCTGTAGCTCTATATAACAAGCACTTTTCACACGAGTTCAGGGTCAATCACAGAGATTGGTCCCGGGGCATTTTGTCCGCCACCTTCGTGCCACCTGGAAAGCCCCTCATGCAACATTGGTAGGAGATGTTGCACATCACTTTCCCTTCGAGGAACCGCGGCCCAATTGCGAAGAACTGCAGAGCCAGGCAACTCAGCCGAGTTGACTACAAATTCTGATGAATCCAGGTGCGTAACGGTCGCATTGTTCTCCTCGGACTCCTCACGCTCGACCCGCACTCTTCCTGTGTAATCGACCTGGCAGTTGCTTAGATGACAGTTGTGCTGCACATTCATTGTCGCCGTGATCTCCTAGATGCTAAGCACATGTCAGAGACGCAAGGCGTGTTGTGCATTGGGTAGAGAAGCCACCCACTCGAACATGTACATATTTCCTCACCATGGTCTTGGTGATAGTCCTCATCTGATAGTAATCGTCAACCCTGCCCCTCGAAAACTCGGTATAGCACACCCAAAACGACCTTCGCGATCTTTGGCGCGCCTCCCAGACATGGTCAATAAAACCAGCCTCAGCATGGCCACAGTCATCACCGCGGCGTACCTAAGCCAACAGATTCTCAGTTGAATGATGATTGGGGATCAAGATGTAACAACCCACTTACCAAGATGAATACACCATGTTTCAGGACGCGGTGTGCATCCCATTGCACACCTGCAATCTGGAACAGACTGTTCCCCAAAAGATGATCCTGCAAGGCCGTTGGTACCGTTACCTTATCTTTGAGTGCGAGCTTCGCTTTGGTAGCGTGCGGGAATTCCAACTGAGCCGCCTCATAATCGACAGGTGTTTGCGCATTGAAATCCATTGACTTTTGGATCATTGGATTGTCCTGAAACAATGTGTTGATCGCTGACTCAGCTTTAATGTACTTTGTCGCATCTTTCGGATCCTGGAAAAAGCCGCCGCATGACCTTATAATTGGCAAACGTTATCGCAATATCTTTTCCGGGGCTCTGACGGTTTGAATGAATGGACGCATTCCTCAGAACTGCGTTGTAACTCTCGAATTTTTCAGTAGCAAACAGGCAGGCAGGACCAAAGCGACGAATCGACTCGGGGAGATGGAGAAGCATGTGAAATTTAGCTTTGTTGACCCATTGCGCCGTGCTTTTGAAAGCATAAAATAAGAACTTGTGAATGTGAAAAGTGAGGGCTTCCAAATATTGATCCATGTCATCTATATATGTTTGGAATATAAGGGGCGCAAGCTGACATAGGGCAATCCACACGTCCCGCTGAGCCTCATCCATGAATGGAAAGAGGACAAATGGTGCACATTGCAGCACAATTTTGAACTCCTTTCCGATAAAGTTTGCAGAGTGCTTCGCCATGTAGTGAGCAGAGAGCGAAGGAATGTTGAGTATTGATGTGTTGAATGCTCGATAACGACCCTCTATCAACCCCAACTCAAGGGGCTTCATTCTGCCCATGAGATCACGAACCATGTACAGTGGGTGGACCGTTATTTTTGGCTGCTTGTTTTGGATTCCAGAGCTTCAAAGCACAAACTTCAAGTCACAAGAATTGGTGAAGTGGTGCAGAATAGGTCCCAAAGAATGAATATGAAAAAACAAAAACAAAAAACAAAGTTTCAAAATTTGTGAAAAATAAAAAATAAAATTTATTTTTCTCAAAAGCTTCAAAATTTATTTTGGGGGATTGAGAGTGCTGAGAGAAAGGAAGATTGGGATATTAGAAAAATGATTATGAATGAAAATTTTGGAAAAATTGCTTTCCAGATGGCTTCAAAGAGCTGTTGATTGGGGCATTCACCAGCCCACATTGCAGTCAGCACTAGAATTTACTGTTTTGGCTCCAATCTGGACAGCCAACCTAGCCAAACCTTTTTTGGGTTCCAGTATTTTGCATTTATAATCATTCTTCCAATGGTTCCAGTCTTTCTTTCTC